GGAGCAGCGCTGGGCTCTTCAAATCACGGACAAACAGGATCCCACATTCTTGATTTTTAGTTCACAAACACTTGTTGTAATGACTAACTACTCCTGACATGTTGGAGATGTTTGCTCTTTATACAGTAAAGTTACAGCAGGATACAAATAACATCAGGCTGATCCTGCCACGATTTGTTCCCTCGGTTCAAATCACAGACTAACAGGATCCCACAGCTGTTTATGTTTTTGAACCCATTTTGCACAGAGAGGCATTTTTTGAAAACAGCAATGTTGAATATTATTACACAGGAAAAAACAACTACAGTAAAATAATCACAGTGTGACGCCTCTGCCTTTGTAAATGGAGGGACAGTAACTGCGTGTAAAACCTGCAGACAGTCAGATTAACAGTAACAGTATTTTGTCTCTGTCATTGTAGAAATTCATCTCATGTAAACAATAACGTGACGCTGTGCGCCACGTTATTGTTGTAACGTGTTACTTTGTAAAACAAAGGGGGGCCTAGCAAAAAAAAAGTTCGGGAACCACTGACGACCTCTGGTCTTGACGACCTCTGGGCCATGGCCAGTGAACTCCTCCACAGGCTCTTGACGAGCTAATTACATTAAAACAACAGAAACTCATTTGTCTTTTAGAAGTTTCACCTCAAACCAAAAGTAACACAGTTTCTTCATTTAAAGGTCAGCGGAAAAGCTTCCAGCGTGACAAGGTAAGAGGCAAATCATCATCCAGATAGACCATTCTGTTAGAGCAAAGATGTGGAATATTCTTGAATGGCCAAGTCAATCAGCTGATCTTAACCCAACTGAGAATTTCACTTGAAGACTAAACTTCAGACAGAAAGGCCCACAAACAAACAGCAACTGAGAGCTGCTGCAGTAACACTGGCAGAGCATGAACAAAGAGGAAACCCAGGATACGGTGATGAGTTCAAGACTTCAGGCTGTCATCAGGTTTTCCACCAAGTATGAGAAATGAACATTTTATTGTCAGTCATTTAATTTGTCCAAATACTTTTGAGTCCCTGAAATTAAGAGATTGTGTTAAAAATATTTTTGGACCTGACTGTGATAACCATCTATTATTCAGGTTATATTTTCTTTTCACTGCCCGTTTTATTACCCTGCACATGAGCTTGTGTTTTCATTTGTTTGGCTGCTCCTGCTCAACCAGTGAATACACTCTCGTATTAAACCTTAAAGAGGTCAGCTTTAGAGCCCTCCTCATTCCAATATTCTTACCTGGGAGGACCTTTTTAAAATTGCAGGAATACATTTTCATGCTTTAATATTTAAACAAACTAGTCCGAGTGCCAGTTTAGCTCAGTGTGAGCATGTGACTGTTTACCACAGAGGTTGAATGCAGCCATCTGGGTTGGATTCAAACCTGCAGCCCTTTGCCGTCGGCTCCTTGCAGTCATATCTGGTAAAAGGCAAAAACGGCCCCAAAAGATAAACCAGATTAGTTTGATATGATACAGTGATACAGGATGTCCTCATAATCACTGTGTAAGGCTTTAACTTGAACGCCGATTTTGATCAGTTTGTGTTATAAGGTGTGAATGATGCCAGTCTGATGACGACGGCGTCATGTTTTCAGATTAATCGAGCACAGTAAGGTGAATGTGGCTGGACGACAGATTTAACGTTCAAACCATGAACAGCTCAAAAGTCAGACTGGGTCCAAACCAGAACCCTGACCCCTGCCTCTGTAAACCGCAGCAGCTGCTGAGATCGGACTGCTGACTGTTTGATATTAAATTAATTCACAAAGTGCTCGATTGGTTTTCCACTCAAACGTCATTCTGGTTTAAATGTCTGACAGACACCCAAATGTGCCGTTTATTCAAACTGCCATGATCTGCCAGCTCATCTTTAAGCTTTGTGATGGTGGTTTGTTCAGGTTGCGCTCGTTGGACCACTGGAGCCCAAAAGGAAGAAGACCGGTTCCAGTGATCCAGCCCCAGAAGCAACTCCAGCTGCTGAAACTTCAAAGGTAGCGGCTGAAAGTCACTGTATGGAACTGAACCAGCCTCAACAACACTGACTAAAACACTGCCTGTGATAAATATTAAACATACAGCTTCTTATCTTTGTGCAGGTTCAGAGCGCACAAATCCAAAGCGGGAGAATTGAAATCAAATCTGTCTCCGCCATCACTAAAAACACCGCTCGGGTTAAGGTGGAGGTGAAGAAGGAGCAGGAGTTCTATGTGTCAACTCAAAAACTGGCAGAGATCCTCGGCTATGACATGAAGGACGGGGTTGAAGGCAGAATCAGTCATGCCATGCCAATCTCAGCCGAGGCTAAAATGCGAGACAATCAGATTATAGATATTCAAAAAGTTCAAAAGTTTTAAAAATAACTTGTTTGTACATGCTTCCTGTGTGAAACAATAAAGCTGGTTTAATCTGAAGTTTGAAGAATAACCCCACAAACCAGAGGTGCCATCACATGACCAACCACAGACCGTAATCCCAGCAGACATGATTCAGACAGAACCAGCTGCAGTCCAACTCCAAAAACATGGTATGGTTGGAGGCGGCTCCAGCTTCAGAAGTGCTCAGACGACCACTGTCAGCTCCACGTACGTGCACTGGTTTTATCAGACGAGCACCTTTATGGCGTCTATGTAAATTATACATCATTGTCAGGAACTGCTTAGCTTAGCTCAGCAGCATTATTGAGGTGAGGGTAAATGCTTACTTCCTGGGACTGTGGGGAGTCTTTGTGGTTTTGGGGGTTGTGGAAAGTCCATGGTTGGTTAGAGGTACAACTTCCAGAAATACTGCGCAGTTTACTAATGAGGCTAGAGTTCTGGGCCTGTCACGCCCCGGCACTTTACTCAACACAGTGAAATGTTAGTCTTCTAAAGTCCTGGTAGCTCCACACATGACATTCACCACCGCAGGTCCTCAAAACTGTGGTTTGAACCAGTGACCTCGACGCTCCTCAAACTTTGGGTTCTGCCGTTCACCCGGATGCAACTTTGACTTGAAGCACTCAAATAAAACGCTGATGACAGAAACCGAGTGTCCTGACACAGACCGAATAAAGAACGAGAGGTGTGTCCTCCCACCGAGGATGTCAGTCTGACACTCATGAGTGAGATGAACAGGCTGAATATTCTCAGGGAGGTCAAGCTGGAGCTCTGGCACAGATTAAACCACCTGTGCAGGTGAAGCAGCTTCACCCCGTGTGTCTGCTGGTTTGTTTTTAAGCTAGCTTTGTTAGAACGTTTATTCCCAGCTAGCTTTAGTTGATCCCGAGCTCAAAAAACAATAATGTGAAACAACCTGTTTATTTCTACTTGACTTTATTAAAAATATCAAACATGAGGAAAACAAGCAGAGACACACACACACACACACACACACACACACACACTGCAGCATCGCTGAGTGAACGAGTTTCAAACAGTCTAACCAATTTCACTTAGAAAAACAAAAACCCAAAAACATCGCTGGCGTTCATCTACAACAGAAAAATAAATGAGTAAGCAGAGTTTCACTTCCAAAGACTTTGCATCCAATCTGATAACAATCGAGGGATAAAAACGACCTGATGTTCCCGTTTGATTTCCAAAAATATACAATATTTATATAATTACAGTGAAACCTCGGGCCGGCGGCTCGCTTTGGGAGGAATCTCTTGACTTTAAAGCTGCGACACTAACGATCTGAGTTACATCCACACAGAAACACACCTACAAAAATAGAGCGTCAACATTTTACACATCCACCGCCGCCTGCTCTGTGATCACACACAGACAGCTGCTTCTAAACCCACCGAGGGGGAAACACCACGTCGACCCGCTCTCTGAAGGTCAGAGGTCAAACGAGTCGAGTCCAACACAAAGAGGAGGAGACAGCTAACAGCGGGGAGCGTTTCTGGAAGTTAAAGATTGAGCTTTGTTTACTCTGAACTGCTCCCGTTTCTTCCCCCAGTTTCCTGTTTATTAATATTTACTCGTCTGCTTTAAGTCAGCAGGTTTGAGTCGGATCAAATGATCCTGATGTTTCAGGAGAAGCTAATGAAAGAATGCAAAAGAACAAATACCCTGAACAATTAAACTGAAGGTTCCTGCAGAGGAACGTCAGCGGTGGAGCGGCCTCTGGTGGGGGTTCAAACCTGCAGCAGCCCTTCATCACGTCTGAGCTCAAGGTCGTTTTATTTAATTGAAAATAAAGTGAGGAAGAATAAATTCTGATGATCACTCAGGAAGTATTTGAACCTTTTTTCTCTGACTGCTTCCCTGATGTCGCTGCAAATCTCGTGTCACTTCCTGTTTGGTTTTAAATCTGAGCACAAGCTAAAAGACTGACAGACGTGGGGTTAAAGGTCACACACTGCTCGCCTCATCTTTTATGGTGTCAGTTTCGAGGCGTTTGAGCAGCCGAAGCTTCTCGTCCCGCTCTGCGCTCTCATTGGCTGACGATGAGCTGTCGCAGGTACGACTGCGTGAGGCCTCGCAGCTCCTCCAGCGTGTAGTCCTCGGGCATCGGCAGGCGGCTGATGTGCGGCGCCAGCTGGGCGAGCGGGATGCTGAGGGAGTCGGCCGTATCGCCCTGCTGCAGGCTCAGCACCGCACGCAGGATGTTCGCCACGCGCTTCGCCATTTCTGCAGAAAGGGAGGGGACCAGGGGGCGGGGCTTTGTTAGATCACCTGATGTAGCTGCGGAAGCTGTTCAGACTTTAAACTGCTCGTTTCTGTTAGAGAGGTGTGTGTGTGTGTCCGCTACTGCGAGCCTGGACAGTTTCAGTCACACACTCCTCCCCTCCATCTGACATCAGCCAATCAGGACAAAGATGCAGTTGTTCTCTTACCTGATTGGGCGAGGCGGTCTTTAGCAGTGCGGCAGGGCAGGAGCTCGATCCTGCTGCAGAGAGACGTCACATCGGTGTAGAGACGCTCCAGCTCGTAGCCGGCGTTTTCCATCTGACAGCGAGGACGGAAACACGAGATCAAACTCGGCGTGAGGACAAAACAGTTACACAAACACGTGAAGACTTCACAGCATTTCACAGCATTTCACAGCCCTGCTTTCAGAGTTACTCCAGATTCTCCAAACACTGTTGGATGAAACCACGGCGTGCTGCGTGAAGCAGAGACTCGATGCTGCTCGTGTTCATCGCTCTAATGCAGACGACCAGAAATGAGCTCGAGCTGCGATCACATCGCCTCGTGTGAACGCCGCAGACGCCAGAGACGTGAGGAAAAGAAAAACCTGAGCTGAAAACGTCTTTCTGTAACTACTGCATCACTACTTTTACACTTACAGTAAGTTTGTGCTTCTACTTCAATAAGCATCATAATGAAGTACTTTTACTTTCAAAGAACAGTCGCCCTCATCGAGCTGAGCATCAGAAACACTCAGAGGTGTTTGGTACCTGCTGGATGTCCTGCAGAGTCTTTATGACTCTGATGTAGTCGAGGTAAACCCCCCCTGCTGTGTCCCAGTCCTGGATGGTGGCGCAGTGCTCGGGGAGCGCCAGACCCTCCAGGAACTCCAGGAGGTAGTCGTGGTTATCGTTGATGATGCAGTCTGAGAGAGAGAGAGAGAGAGCGAGATTCAACAAACTGATCTCACAGATGAAACATAGCGTGATGTGTGGACTCGAGCGCCTCAGCACTTGTTGCCTCATCGTGTTTTTGAACCAACTGGAACTTTAATTCTCTCTAATGTAACCATGTAATGATGCTAATTATTCAGATCAGAGGAGTCTGAAGTTTTTGACTCTTCTGCAGGACGTGGTTCAGACCGCGTGTGCAAACAGGCGGGTCTACCTGAGGCCAGGTGCTGGATCAGCAGGCGGTGGCACTGGTTCCAGTATCGGGCTCGGTACAGGTGCAGGGCCTGCTGGTGTCTGTCGCCGTCGCGGTGGGCTCGGGTGGCCTTGGCCTCGTGGATCCACCGCTCCGGGATCAGCAGCTGCTCGGTCAGGAAGCGCTCCCTGCGGACAGAGTCCTCCGTCTCCTGCAGGGGGCAGTGCAGCGCCAGCATCTCCCTCACAGCTCGCTCCCTCTGACTGAAGACGCAGAGAAGAAGATCAGACAGGAAACAACGAGCTGAGATCTAAAGTGAGGACGGTCTCCAGAACAAAGCGGGCCGGAGCGCAACGATCACGTTCAACTCGACTGTTACTGAAGATCACCGAGCCAACACGCCTACAGCTGAGAGCCGTCAGCTGTTTCCATGAGACTCGAGGATTCAAAGATCCGAGTCGTAAAACAACCTGAGCCCTGTTTGGCTCAGAGCCAAGCTGCTGAAGAAACGCCGTGCTGGCGGCGCGGTGAACGTACGCGTGCTCGGGGATGTGCAGCAGGATGAAGACGGCCATGTGCCACAGGCCGGCGCTCTCCAGCTGCGCGGCGTAGCTGGCGTGGAGGAGGCCCTGCCGTGGGGCGCTCAGGTGGGTGTAGTGCAGCGCCTGCAGGACGCCCCACAGGTGCCAGCTCAGGCGGTAGTCCAGGCGCTCCCAGGTGACGGCGAGAGGCTCCAGCAGCTGCTGCAGGCCGTAGTGTCTGCAGGGCGACAGGAGAAGCGTTAAAGTAGCGCTCTGCACGTTTTACCCAACCAGCGGCTGAAGCCTGGTTACCTGTCGCTGTAGAGTTTGAGCAGGTGGAAGCAGAGGTCGTACAGCGGCCGTTTGGACGCCTCCTCCAGATCTGGCTGCTCCGCCTCCAGGTATGGAGGCAGGGGTGCACAGGCGTACTTCCCCGCCTCACACAAGCCCTGCAGGACAGAAACAACGATCACCGATCAGCACGAACACAAGCAGGTCACTAGCTACACCCGTCACACCGCACACACCGCCCTCTGCTGAACACACTGAAACGAAGCTTTACGAGTGTAAATGTAACCTGAACGCTCGACAGTCAGAAATGAAGTCAAAGAAAATCAGCGGCGGCTCACCTGAAAGGCGGCTTCGTATCTGGCGAG